CCCCCGGCCCGGCGCGATGTTTAGCCACATCTCAGCCCTGCCAGCCTCGGTCCTGGGCAGCGGGGCTGCAACCCTGAGACGCCCCCTGACCCCCACCAAAGCCAGCTGCGGGCCGTGGCCAGACCAGGGACCCACCCGTGCCAGGACGGCCCAGGCTTGCTCAGCCTGCAGCCAGCACCACGGGAGACCTTGCACCCAAGGGCCCGGGCAGGGGCAGACGCCCAGGGTGGGAGGTTGGGACCCAGCTGCAGGATGCGAGGTGTGGGCAGCAGGATGGGAGAGGAGCCGATCCTCCCCGCGGCGCTGAGCTGGGAGGCCCCCGGGCTCCAGCGCTCGCTGCCTCTCCGTGCCAGGCGGGCATCTGTCAGCTCCAGCCTAATGAATAAGAATGGCTCAATTTTCCCCGACTGGGTGACTCGCGGGCCACAGCTGCTGGCAAAGCAGCCACGAGTCGCACGGTGCTGGGCAGGGCAGGGGGCCGCGGGGAGCTCAGGCGGGGGATGCTCCGGGACCCCAGAAGTGTGGGGCTTCGCTGCCTTGTGTGGCCAGAAGCAGCCCCAGGCTGAAGCCGGCCAAGCCAGCCCGTGGGATACTTGCACCCATGGGCCATGAAGAGCTCCCTGCAGGACAGGAGCAGCGGGGTCCCTGTCCCGGCCCCGAGGTCAAGCTCTCGTGGGCTCTGGCCGGTGACCGGACGCGGTGGGCGCTGTCCGCCCTGCCCCGAGCTCTGAATTGAGCCCTTGGAAAGGGCCGTGCTGCGGCTCTACAGGGAGCCGGGCTCTGGTAGCGCAAGCAGGATGGATGGCACCAGCCTGCCAGCCCCGCGGCCTCGGCTCCCGGCCACCGCAGATGGATGCGCTTCGTCAGCTCTGCTTATTAGCACCATGCATCCTTCCCTGGGCCTGACCCGCCTGCTGTGGGGGAGGGAGGCCGTGCCCAGAGCCCAGGCAAGGGCGAGCGTCTCCCTGGCACTGCCCAGGAGAGCTCGGTGCAGGCGGGGGCTTGGTGCTGCGGCTGCGGATCTGCCCCTCCGCAGAGGCACCCAGCTCACAGCTTGAAGGGCCACAGCGAGCCCCCCTCTTCCCACGTGGCCCCGTTTCCCCTTGGAGCTGGCAGGCAAGTTAATTAAAATGAACAGCTGTAATTAGGGAATGCGCAGGCTGAGGCTGGAGCTGGCAGCAGGGTGGCCACCCCCATGCTCAGGGTCTGGGAGCTGCACATACCGGGGGCACGGCAAGCCTGGCTGCTTGTACGGCCTCTGCACTGAGCCCTTTTGCAATGGCAGCCTTACTCCCGTTGCACGGGTGGGGGAAACTGAGGCACAGAGGGGCCAGGGAGGAAGCATGCCCCCAGAGGGTTGCATGCCTGTGCTTTCCATTCAGACGCAGGTTAAGGCATTTCCCTGCGATGCCCGTTGCTCTGCGGGGGAGGCCCCCGGCTGTCACCCCCCAATGCCAGCCCCCTGGAGTGGCCGGGGGGCTCAGCCACCATCCCTAGCAAGGGGGGCAGGTCTGTACCTTGGCAGAGCCGGGGAAGGTCCCTGGGGGAGCGTCGTCTCCTGTCCTGGCCCTTCTGCTGCCAGCCTGGCACGTGGCGCTGAGCAGGGGCCTCGGCTGGGGGGGG